TGTCAAGTTCAAACGCCCGGGGCTCATGAATATCAATGACATTGCTGCGGGAAGGCCGCTGCCCGCTGCCCGCTGCGATTTGCCCATTGCCCATTGCCCGCCGAGTTGCGACCTCAGGCCCGGCGGCGCCCCTTGGCCAGTTTAAGCTTTTGGCCAGTCGCTGATGCGTTTAATTTTTTAAACCTCTTTGCACTCGTCAAAAGTTGAAAAAGTTGAAAATGGACCAAGTGTTAAATGACTTTTTATGCATTTACTTTTGTTGTTGCATTTCATTGGCTTTCATTGGCCATCGACAACAATTTATTTAAAACCGCGCCCAAAATACTGGCAAAAGTCGTATACGCATATTTTACCCATAATTAATTTTTAATGACATGCCATTTTATGCATTTATGACCAATTTTATGGGTCTTGCATAAAGTTAAATGCGTGTGTATTTATATTTTAAGCGATTCCCGCAACTCACCCAGCCAAGTGGTTAAAATCTATCAAATCGCTCAATCAAATGCAGTTGAACCATCAAATGGTCAAGAGCTAAACAATTCCATATTCAATGTGTGACCCACAGCTTAACATCGATATCGGATCCAACTTGATGATTTATGTAGGTTACCAGGTGCCATTTAATTAAATTAATTACAGATTTATGTCTGCAGGAGTAACAAGTAGGAGGCTCTAGTCGGGAGCTCCTGACTAGGGGATACCCTGAACCCTCTTCTTCCGACAGGCGATAGGTATAAAATGAAAGATACTCGATATATACATATATACTATTCTAGAAGCTACATGTCAAGTTTGGTGAGTCTAGCTCATATTATTTGCCGAAATTGCTCAAAAAACAGGATTTCGATATCGATTATTATCGATTACTTGGAAACGGGGCAAGTTATCGAATATCGGAAACAAACTCGATCTGCGCGGGCACTAGGAGGATCTACAGCCAAAATTTCTCTAGCTCTAGTCTCTAGCTCTTATAGGTTCTGAGATCCTTGCATTCATACATACGGACAGACGGACGGACAGACGGACAGACAGACGGACATGGCTAGATCGACTCGGCTGTTAATGCTGATCAAGAATATATATACTTAATAGGGTCGGAGATGCTTCCTTCTGCCTGTTACATACATTTGCACAAATACATTATACCCTTTTTACCCATTTTTAATGGGTTCACGGTATAAAAATGGGGGTGGGCGGGCTTATACGGCACGGTCCAACACGCAACTAATTCCTTTCAAATTTACGAATTCAGATTCTTACATATATATGTTACATTTTTGTATGTAAATAACATTTTTTTTTACTATTTTTTTTTTAAATCATGTTCCCTCGCTTAAACATTAAATATACATTTTCTTTGACTTGAAATAGTCAAACTTTATTTTTCAGCGATTGTCCGTGAATTTATTTTAGAATTTCCCAAATGTGAAAAGCTGATATTTAAAATTTGAAGCTATAAAGCTTTCACAAATATTTCGTTTATGAAAAATCAGTCTATCACTGATGGGAATAATTAGTGCTCGAATTAGAGAGGATTAAGGGACACGCGCTTGAAGTAAGATTAACCCAAATTATTTGAAAGCTTTCGACTTGTGTGCGGTCAAGTTAAACATAAAAAAAATCATGTCCATATTATGTAATGACTATGTCTTTCATATAACTAACATGAGCATTACACCAAGACCATTTTATAAAAGGAAGAGAGAGAGGGAGGAAGGAAGTAAGAGAGAGAGAGAGAGAGGGCGAGTGCTTAGTGAGTTCCAGTTCATATAGTTGTAGTTATTATGGCACATTTCTAACGCGTACTTGGCTTGTACTTTGGCTCAATGCATTCATTCGACTGGCCGCATGCACTCAACTTGCATTTAAGTGCAAAAGTTTCTAATTATGTTGCCAAAGGCCAAAACCGGGCAACCCAGTCGGCAACGAGACTTGGGGGACTTGCGTGTGTGTGTGTGTGTGAGTGTGTGCTGAAAATTAATAGACTGTGAATATGTTAATGATGCAAGTTGCATTGCTTTGAGCGGCACTTTAAGCAAAATATGCACTGAAACTCGGGTAAGCCATAAAAAAACGAAGAAGAAGAAGAAGTAGAAGAAGGAAACTCAAATATATATATGGGGCTGCCATCCCGGCTGACCTGCTTATAAATATATCATAATAATGAGCAATAAAATTGTTAAATGCATATCAAATGGCCATACCCTTTGACCCGGACGGAGTCCCAAATTGTTGACCTTGGCCAGTTATTTATGGTGCGTATTTATTTGCCTAGTGCTAATTTAAATTTATTACGCACCGCCAGTTGGCTACTGGCTGGCCCTGGCTATAAATTTTGAAGAGCTAAGCCGCCGCCTAGGCCGCAATCATTAATTATAATTCATTGGAGCCTTGAGCCCGGAGCCTTTGAACCCCTCCTATCCCCCGGAGTGCCAGCCCTTTTTCCAGCACTCGCTATGCAGTACTCAGTTTTCAGTTTACAGTTTAGAGTTTTTCTTCCTGATGAAATGCGTAGCAAGGCGGTCGCCGGACCTGGACAACGGTAAATCGATTATGTCCGGCAGCAGCCAGAGAGTCCACCACAAGAGTCCATACAAATGGCCGCAACAAACGCGCTATTCAAATTTTCTGCATGTGCCACACCCCCTTTCACACGTACCTAACGCCCCCGGCCAGTGCTGACAAACTGCACAAATGCTGCAGTTCGTTTAACGAAGTTGTCCTGTGTCATCCTGGCTTGTCCTGCCGCTGACAATGATGTAACTGCCGCTGCGGTTAGCAGCTGCAACTTTTCATGGCAAGCAGCGCACCGAAAAATTACACATGTAAATTGCATGTGCAAACCGCAAACGAGTTGTGCGTTTTGTGAGCGCAAATAAGGTGTCAATAAGTTGTGCAACACACACACACACACACACGCACAGACACAACAATAGCATGCAACATCATATGCAACATTGTGACCTGAACATTCGCCTGCCGGCATCTAATTTGCAAGTGTCAGATGTCAATACACACACACGCTCACACACGCACACACACACGTCTGCATTAAATGCCTTCAACACATTGCGCAATTATGGCAAACAGGACGAGGACAAGGACAACCGGCAGCCGGCAACACCCACATGTCAAGTTCTATGCTGCAACTTGGCACTGCCTTTGTCCGTATATTAACGTTTATTTTGAGGGTACGCAGCTCCAACTGACCACCAAATGAGGCAGGCAGGGGGAGGGGGGTGGTTGGGGGCTGGTGGCAAACTTTAATTACAATGCCTGAGCGTACGCCCCAAAAGTTGCTGTGCGCCTCGTTTAAATCTATTATTTGGCAACAGTTAAGCGTCGGTGGGTGGCCGACGGGTTGGCTATTAAAAATTAATTTGACACGTTGCGCTTGCATGTCAAAGTATGCGAGTGGGAGGGTGGGCGTGGCAGAGAGTCGGAGAGCCGGTCAAAACTTTTGCCCAGCGCTTAGCTTGCATAATAATTAATGAATGTGAGAGCTCAAAAAAAATATATATAAAAATATATATATGTATATATATATAAATGCAATGGCCGCCCGTAATTAACGCGTTTCGTGTGGCCCCAAATGATGGGTTGTGGTTACGAGCCTGGGGGTACCTGGCATTCATATTATATTTAATAGCGCTGTGCGTGTTGGAGTTATACCCTGTACGAATTGGAGGAGTACAAAAAAGGTTAGCTAGAAGTAGGTGAGATCTCCGCACAAAAAGTGCATATATTTAGCAGCAGCAGAGCCGAAATTGTGTGTACGTCTGTGTGAATGAGTCGATCTTAGGCCGATCTTTGAAGCTCTAAGACCTAACATTTGGAACGTATATCCTGCGCAGATAAAGTTTAATTTAAATCACCGAAAACAGCCTCTCCGATTTTCGATAATATCTCGAATCTCATAAGAGCCATAGACAGCAAATGAGGATTATTTAGTAATTTATAGCTGACTGTAAAGGCATGAAATCAATAAAAAATCGATTCTCTGATTTTAGATAATATATCGAAGCACAGACAGCAAATTAGGTATGGAAATTAACGTAAATTATTGGTAACTAACTTGCATTGCATGAAATCGATATAAATCGATTATCAGATTAAATAAATCATCGAAATCACCATCTCCGAATTTCGATAATATCTCGGATCTCATAAGAGCCATAGGCAGCAAGTTTAGTATATAGTATGTAGAAGAGTATTATCTTAATTTATCTATTACTTACTGTAATGGTATGATTTTAGATAATATATCGAATCTTGCAAAAAGCACAGACAGCAAACTAGGTAATTATTTTAAATTATTGTTAACTAACTTTAATTGCATGAAATCGACATAAATCGGTTATCAAATTAAATTCTTCATTAATAAACTTCTAGGATTCCAACTCTCGTTCGCCAGTAGATGCTGCTTATTTTAAATTATCGCTTCTCCGATTACAGATAATAATTCTGAGCTAAAAAACAGTTACAGGCGTATCCACAATATTATATAAATAATTTTCGGATACCACAGAATCGGACACCCTAACGTTAAAAAAAATTAATTAATTTAGAGATAAGGACTTTGGCTTTGGTATTCGTACACATCTTTAGGCCATAATTATAGCCTGCTTGTGTGTATTTGTGTGTATATGCGAGTTTAGGGTATTTGCTAGTCGGGCACTACATAAACTTATTACTGTTATTAACTTGTTGCATCGTTTCATGTAAGCTGCGCATTTTGGGGGCCGCCATCTTGACCGCTCGGCCGTCAAACATGGCGTATGATTATTTCGGCTCGAGCCGTGTATTTTCGCGCCTTGCTGAGTGCTTTTTGATTGACAAATTGTGGGCTCCGTTAGCCCGGGCTTAATTATGGAGCACTGTTGCGCAGCAATTAATGACAGCTAATTACATAGATCAAGCGCTCGCCCGCGCCCGAACCCGACTCGCACTTGTGCTATAAAGCATCCACTTGCCGCTTGGGGCAGTTACAGTTGCATTTGGCTTTTGGTTTGTTGCTGCTACTGCTGCTCCTGCTAGAGTCATTCAATTTCGTCTGCTAATACCCTTGACTGCACGTACAGTGGCTGGCTGCAGTGCCAGTAAATCCTTGATCCCAGATATCCGGCGTCTCACGTGCGCGCTTCCGCAGCTTACCGCTACTTTGGACTTGACGGCGTTGTCACGTTGCAACTTGACCAGCAGCAGCTGTGCGGCATCATGTTGCTGCGTGCCACTATTAACATTTTCACCATTTTATTGCTATCCTCTCTGACGGGGCGTGGCAGCTGGGCAGCCGAGCTGCGTCGCGATGAAACGGTAAGCAACAGCAGATCTCTGCTGCCAGCGTCTAGATAAGCCAAATCACACGTTAAGATAATGAACAGAGAAGTCAGGGGAGCTAAATACGTGCGTTTCTCTCTAGCTTTAGCTGGAAGAAGAAGAGGTTTAACTATACCCGGTTTGCTAGTTTGTTACAAAGAAATTCGATATATATTTTTGCTACACTCGAATTTTTGCATAAAGCACTCATAACGTTATATATTCATGTAGAAAACTATTTCAGCAAATATCCTTCAAAATGATTAGTTTTTTAATATCAGAAAATATTATCGATTTAAAAAACCAAATCATTTTCTTAATTGAATGCATATTTTTTTATATTTTTAGAAAACATTTTCCAAAATTTTAAAAAATTTTAATCTTTAAGCGATTGTCTAAAATTAATCATAAGATAATATAAGGTCACAAGGACCATAGATTCGAATACTTTTCAATTTTTTTTTTTTGGTAAATTTCCCTTAAGAAAAAATTTGCTACTTTAAGGTACTGGGAAAAAATTATTGAATCTAGAATTTTTTTTTAATACTTAAATAAGATTTTCTAAGATTTTGATAGACATTAACTTTATAGCGATTTTCTAAAATTAAAAAAATGCTTTTGTGTGTATTTGTATCAGAATATATATAAGATTATGATCTTATATAATTACAATAGATTCGTCTGCTTGTCGATCTTTTTTTTTTTGATTAATTTAACTAAAGAGAAAATCTGATAATACAAAGTAGAGATAATTAATTCTTGTATTATTCACGCAAATTTTGATTATAAACTTGCTGCATATCAAAAAATGATATAAGGTCAGGTATTTAATCGCGTAATATTTCGATAGGGTATTGGAAAAACTATGCTGTAGAGTACATTTACAATCGTAAGTCATTGCTCCAATAATTTAACAAGCAATAAATCACATTCTTCAGAAAAGGAACTCATATATGTGGACACTCTGCAGTTCAGAACTTTTTTAAAGTTCAGCCAATAAATATTGAGCAGGCAATAAAACAAAGCGAAAAAATAGTGTTTTGAGAGTTTAAACATAATTTTCGACTAAAAAATGTCTGACAACCAAAAAATTAATCGCCTTAAGGAAAGTTGATAGCTAGAGAGAAGTTTAAATGTTGTATCTCACAATTTGGATGCAAATTAGATTTGAAAGACCATCATCTACTTAGATTTGTGCAGCACTGACATTCGGAATAAGAAAAGCAGTTTTATGCTTTTGATATATCTAATGAACTACACAATTTTGCAGTATCCACCGCCGGAGCTGCTCAAGGAGTTGGCGCCCGTGCATGACAGCTGCGTTGGAAAGACCGGAGTCACAGAAGGTAAGCGGTTGGTAAATAATCTGCTGGGGCAGCAGACTTCCGTTTGATGGTGGACTAATGCAAACAAGCTGTTGCCATCTGTCACTGAAACTTGCAACTTGTGTCTGTAGCGGCAATTAAGGAGTTCAGCGACGGCGAGGTGCACGAGGACGACAAGCTCAAATGCTACATGTACTGTGTGTTTGATGAGACGGATGTGCTGCACGAGGATGGTGAGGTGCATTTGGAGAAGCTGCTCGACCGTATGCCCGACTCAATGCACGACATTGCGGTCAACATGGGCAAGAAGTGTCTGTACCCCAAGGGCGATACGAAATGTGAGCGCGCCTTTTGGCTGCACCGCTGCTGGAAGCAGGCGGATCCCAAGGTGAGTGTCATTGCACCTGATTAGCGACCGGCTTGCGGCTGGGTATTAAGCTAATAAATTACCTCTTTTTCCAGCATTACTTTCTCATCTGAGCGTTGACGAGCGCCGAGGGTCGAGACACGGACAAGCTGAACCCGGCCAAGGTTTATGCCGGCTTATGATTTATGTTTATATTTTATTCTCCGTATTATTCTATATATTTCTGTATTTCCATTTTAGTCAGCAAATGGCGTTTTGACGAGCATTCCAAAAATATGAGCGAAAAGCTTTGCAAAAAAAACAAAAAAACAAAACAAAAATGAAAATACAATTACGCATAAAGTTTTTCCCGCAGCTGTTGCTAGTTTGGAACCGTGGGGCGTGGCCGGGGGCTGCGTATTGCGAATTGAATTTTATGGGAATATTGTGATATATACGCAGAGCCATAATTGTCGTCGTGGCTGATGGATAGCGCACATAAATCCGCTGACTGGCCATGGCCTAAAGCATATTTAATTATTTAATTAGCGCTATCTAAAGAGCGCATCTATAATTTTATGCATCGACAAGCATTAATGACATCGTTATAAAATTAATATGCGGCTGCCGACTCCACTTTCTGCTCGCATAAATAATTATAGCCTGCGTGCCTTTGTTGTTGCTGTTGTTGTTGTTGTTGTTGTTCCAATTGCAGTATAATTTTTATTGCATTTGCAATTGGCTGTGGGTCAAGCAGCCAACGCACTTCTACGGAATCGAATTAAATGCCATTGGCATAGAATAATTGATGGAACTCCATGGCCAAGTGCTCAAAGAAATCGAACTATACTGTACTAATTAAAGGGTATATATGTACCAATGCAAAGATACGCATTCATATCAACATGTTAAAAAAGAAATGATTGCGCATTTCTAAAGGTTTGAACCGTCGACTTTCCGCTTGCTAGTTCGACGCTTAAACAACCGCATAATAAGGGTATAAATTTCAATAACGACATAAATTTGTAACAATTTAAGCACTATATTTTATTACCTTTATCCACATATATCCAGATATCCATATCAATATCTTTTTAATCGTATGAATATCAAGAAAATACAAATTCATTTCTGTTTAAGAAGTTCACAGATCTGCGCACATAAATTCATATCTGCATATGAAGAAATCATGCGAACATATATCTTGATTTAATTCTGGACATTCACATTAGTATTTCATTAGTCTTTGCCGAACAAATGAATTGTATTCAAAGGACGCAATAAATAAATCTAAAAGCCCGGCGCACATGCAAAGGGCCAATGTCCAGCCAAAAGAGGGCGGCGCTACCTGACAATCGGCATTCAATTTATGTGCTTCCGCTTTTTCATTTGGCATTTTGTCATCGCATTCAGATCAGTGGCGATTCGTTGTATTCATTCATTTGCTCATTTCACATGTCAAACCTGGCAATTTGAATACAATTGCAGTTGTCATTGCAACCAAACTAGGAATTCACATTTGAATACCTAGCAAACAACCAGTTTTGGGTGTAACGGCAATAATATATTACAATATTCCTTTTTTTAAAAAATATTGCAATATCGTTTTAATAAAAATTCAGTTTGTGAAATATATATGTAAAGTGAATTTGAGGTACAGTTGTTGACATGCAACAAGGTAAAGCAATCAAATAAAAATGTCGCCCATTTTGATCAATTTTTGTATTTTTATACCCTGCACCCAAGTAATTTGCCTAAAAGGGGTATAGTGATTTTATGTATAAGTATGTGACAGATAAAAGAAAGCATCTACGCACCTATAATGCAAGGTTTTGATACTCAGTCAGTTTGTCGATCTCGGAAACTACAAAGCTAGAGACTTGCAGTTTGACATATATATTCTGCGAAGACACACGCAGAACGAATTAGAGATATTTAAAATAGTTTCTTTCCTTGTCATTATAGAAAGCATTATATAACAAATCGTATATCTTAGGAGCTAGATACACGAAATGTTTTTGTGAAGGTTCTCGAATAGGAACACAGATACAGAATATTAGCTACAGAATATTTCAAGTTTAGTTCACCTGAAGTTCCCCACAAAAATGAAAATAATACATTCTTGATCGTAGTGCCTTGGGAGTTGGGACACACACACTTTTGCATGACAATTTTAAGCCCTAAAAATGTCATGAGAATCGAATAATAAACACCAAGAATGCATTTCCCAGGCACAGTGTGGGGCAAAAGAAAGAAGTATTGGCACGGCTGCTGGTGTATGTATGCGTGTTTTTAGACCCTGAAACCCATTAAAAATGGGTAAAAAGGGTATTATGTATTTATGCAAATGTATGTATCAGGCAGAAGGAAGCATCTCCGACCCTATTAAGTATATATATTCTTGTCTGTTCTATATCCATCTGTCTGTCCGTCCGTCCGTCTGTCCGCCTGTCCGTATGTATGGACGCAAGGATCTCAGAACTTATAAGAGCTAGAGAAATTTTAGCTGTAGGTCCTCCTAGTGCCCGCGCAGATCGAGTTTGTTTCCGATATTCGATAACTTGCCCCGTTTCCAAGTAATCGATAATAATCGATATCGAAATCCTGTTTATTGAGCAATTTCGGCAAATAATATAAGCTAGAATCGCCAAACTTGACATGCAGCTTCTAAAATAGTATATATACATATATCAAGTATCTTTCATTTTATACCTATCGCCTGTTAGAAGAAGAGGGTTCAGGGTATCCCCTATTCGGAAGCTCCCGACTAGAACCTCTTACTTGTTTTGTATATGTATCTAAGTACATATATACAGCAGGATGCTAGATTCTTTGCAACGAACCCTTGGTTTACGGTAACTCCTAGTCGAGCACTGCTAACTAGTCAAAATTTTATTTTTTTACGTGTATTCAAGAAACACAAGTTTTAGCTCTGTGTCTTTAAAAGGTTCCAATAATTCTAAATCTATGACTAACAAATAAAAAAGAATGACGCAAATGTAATAAATGAGTTTAAGTTAACCAGAGTATTCTGGTTTATTTTTTTAAGTTTAAAAATAATTGAACAATTTATTAATAATTATATACACGATCTCAGGTTTCTTTAATTACTTTGATTAGTTTTAAGTACTTGTTATTTGTTTACTGTTACGATTAGCTGCGTGTTGGGCTTGCAATCGCCAAATTATAGATTAAGAAATATAATCATTGAATAATATGTACTTATTATAATGACTAGTGTACATGCTGATCAAATTGGATCGAAAGGCGCTAAATTATTTATGTTTAAGAACTTTTATAGTTTACGAAATCCTTTAAATTGACATTAAAAACTGAAAGAACGTTTCAGCATTGTGCAGTATTCATGGCTTGAGCCACAAAATAATGTCATTTTGGTCTAAATAGAGAGGCCAAGGGTTTTTTTTATTATTAATTTGCAGCTAGCAATTGTGTGCACGCAAATGGGCGTGGCATGGATACAGTTGCAGTTGCGTGCAAACATACATAGGCAAGCATTTAATTGTGCGGGCGATGACAGGCAACTTAGATAAATATGGACATAGACAAATCCAAATTATAGAAATTGTGCATCAATGACTTTATGCGAAAATCCGTAGCTGAAAATCGATATAAAACAGGCTCGCTAGAAATGGCAATAAAGCAAATTCAATTCTGACTGCGGTTGTCAAACAATTTCTGTGTCGCGTGTGACGGAACATTTTCTTTATTTTCGTTGATAGTTTAAAGGCAACCAGCGGAGGTAAACAACAACAACAAGAACAACAACAACAATAAAAAACGCGTCAACGGCAATTCGCATAACGAAAATTGAAATGGCAATTAAAAAACCATCCATCGTTGCTGCCAGGGCCAACTGTGTGGCACACTCTCACACACACACACACACACATTGCCCCATAACTGTTGCTGTTATTGTAATTTCATTCGTTCTTTATGACGGTTTGTGTGTGTGTGTGTGTGTGTGTGTGGGGCAACGTCGTTTTGTGGCTTTGTTTCGGTTGTTGCGTTGACATTTGATGAAACAAAAGTGACAGTTGTGCACAAGTTGACGTCTTTCTATTGTATTTCCTGTTCAAAAAACAAAAAAAAAAAAAGTCAAGCGAGCGAATGGCAAATTTTATACTCGCCTCTATGTTTATATGGCTAGCGACTGTGCCTGTTTGATTGTAGTGGGCGGGGCGGGGCGGGGCGGGGCAGCAAACGCACGTGGGCATCTGCTTGTCAAAAATTAACACGACGACGATTGTGCATTATGTAAAAGAAAAGAAAGGAACGTTGACAACAGGGCGCTGAAGCCCTGACGTCTCGGCCACCATTTCCGTTTTCGTTTGGCGAGCTTTTTGTTCAGCTGGCGGTTAGAATTAATTTAGCGTGCGCTGAGCTCGGCTAGCAAGAAACAAATGATTTTCTCTACTCTTCTCATTTCTTTTTTTTTGTTGGTTTCACTTCAGCTGTCCCCCTGCTTGCATAGCTTCCTGAAATAAAAATTACAACAAAAAGCGCACTTAGAAAAACCCTCACAAACTCACAACATCAAATAGCTGCACACACACAAACACACATACACACACACACACACACTCATACAAATACATGCACATATATTGTCATTGTCCAGCTGTCACGCGTGGCACGTCGTCGCTGCCAGCCCAACATCCTTTTCCATCCTGCATGTTGTTCTCACATTTTATACCCTAGCCGAGAGTCTGCCGATTTTGTCGAAAAGTGGGTAACGCATTAAAAGAATCAAAAAGTGTTGGGATTTATCATGTCTATCTCCCTATGTACTCTAATTTCGATGTAGTTTAATCTGTCGCTATATATGAATAGTTATTTCTTGTCAAACTTTTCTCTAAGCATTTGGATGAAACTTAATCTAGAAGTTCTACTTGTTGTTCAGTTCGGTCAATAGAATAGATCTGTTGTAGGAATATACAAAAGCTTCTCTTTTTAAAGGTATTCACCTTTGAAATGAATAAAACTTTTTTCAAGAAAACAGCATTTCCATAGGATTCGTATGCTGTAAAGAAAATCAATTCTTCAGCAAAAAAAATTAAAGGAAGCTGCATTTGATCAATATAGAAAAGGACTTTAAAGAGGCTTAAATAGCTGGCTTAATAAAAATAATAATTAATTGA